AAATACCAACCATACCATTCCACACATGATCGTACCATCAAGTATATCAAAGGGATACTCATATGTACATCCCTATGAACACGAACTTTGAAGTACAGATAGGTCTCACTCTGTTCCAGAGAATCATCTGACAAGCTCATGTGTTCAGTGACGGAAGGTTGTGTAGAAATCAATGAGAATTTGTACCTTCAAGCAGAACTGGGAAGCGGAGAGCGGCCCATCGGACCAACGAGGCAGAATCATATGTCAAAAGTGTTCCCTATTTCACGTTTGTTCGTATCCTCATCTCTCGTCCTGAATAAGACGAACGACCAGTGTTCGCACTGGAAGAAACTTTCCCACGGCCAGCCGAAGAGTGAAGTTTGGTCGTGGATTCCCAAACCTACAATATTGCAGGTAGGTTCGAAAAACCGGTGTCTTGTAGTCCATAGAACCCCGACATCTACAGTCGTAAAGAGCTTTGACAGGCAACTTGTCCCAATGCTGCAAAGCAAGTTAGCCACGCACAACGGCTGAACGACCCACACTCCAATGAACCTATACGATGCAAAGTTGCAACACATGTGGACGTACAAGCCAGCATACACACATCTTAACATAAACAGTCCCGAAAGGACGTAATTTAATCCTATTCCAAAAGCATTGCCTTCCTGACACTGTCACCTCAAGACAATACTAGTTGTACGGCCAATCGGATACCATCAGTGTTTTTGCTGCTAGTCTGCTAGTGGGCGCTCCTTGGAAACATACTGTATTTGAGATATGCCACTGCACTGAAATTCAAAGCATACGTAGGATGACACCAGCGTCGTGATTGTGAACGAGTAACTGGTCATTGTTAGCTTGTTACAGACTTCTACGTGTTTGCTGTAAGCAGAACCAAGTCTGGCGGCGCGAAAACCGCCTTCGACTACCCATTTTGAGCAGCCTCCCAAAGGTGATCCAACAAGAGGCAGTGGACGCCCGCCAGCCAAATGAGACAAACTGTAGCTCTATGGTATTGTAGAGGGAGCATTATTACACGGCCCCTTATGTGCAGAAAGCCCTACAGCTAAATCGGAAACGCTATCCTGGCAGATGAACTAATCGATGAACACTATAACGTTGGCTAAACCGAAATATTAGTGACTGATTTTTCGGAGAGCTATCAACTATGTTAGTAACTTTCCCCAGTCAAGGCAAATGAACTATTCGGTTGGCTTTGCATGAGGTGAAAGTACTAAGCAGCTGGACTGAACTGAAATTGAACTTTTTGTTCACATAAAAATTTCTGTGTGGTTCAAAACAATTCCCGCGACTCATATTTGGGTACCTCTGTGATATTTTTAAAATGTACGTCATGCCACCTCTACTGATTCTCTGTGTAAAACCGGGCTTGAGCAACTGAACCTCCAAACCTGGCTGCAGATCATCAACTTATATCCCAAAATTCTCCCAAAAGTCTCTAATATCTTCACGCGGCGTTCCTTGAAAACCTTTTAGAGGTGATCCAAATGACAGAGGGCATTGTAATAAGACAAATCTATGCTAAT